TGGAAATGTCAAGTAGTCAATTGGAGATATGGGATTAGACTGCTGGTTGTACAACGGAATTGTATGGGCCCCTGTATATTTATTAGACTAGCAATTTCCCATTTTATAACTGATACTATATTTCAGAATAAATGCTTAATAACTCCCAGCCCATATTTTTCATGGGCAATATTTGGCATATTTATATTACAGTCAGTAATTGTGAAACATAGGGAGAATTAAATCTCTGCCATATTTTCTGCAGAATGCAGCAGAATTTTATGAGTAAGCTCGTTTTTGTAATAGCTGATGTGTAATTTCAGATTGCACCTCTAGGCTTCAAGTGTGACAGCTGATTACTCACTCTTTAAATTATCTAAGCTTTCCTGCTCAACAACAGAAATAATCTCTCAGACTCTAAGACTAGTCAAATATATCCTTAATAATAAAACGACTGTAAGCAAAGAAAATTATCAGCAAAGCAAAATGCAAAGATGCTAATTAATTCTAAGGTTAAAATCTCATCTTATTAAGTAGTGAGCATTTTTCTTCCCAGAGAATCTATAAATCATTTATATTTACTTTACTAGTAACTGAAACATCTGTTAAAAAGAAAGATTTAAACAGATGGAGTTTTTATTCATAACAGAAGTAATACAAATTTTTAAACTATAGTAAATGATTTTTAGTCCATATTAATCCTAACATATAATTTTAATTATCTTCTTGGATAATTTACTGTTCATCATTATGAAATCTCACAAAGACAAGATAGCACTTTAAATCTTTCAGCATATTTAAATAGCAGATATCCATGGTAACACAGTGCCCATACTCCAATTTCACAAGTCAGAAAACGCATACTAAGGCAGGTCTGATTTTTGTTCCAACATCATAGTCACTCATGTACATTAACGGTGAGCGGCAGGGGATGGTTTTCCACTCTACTCATAAAATGAGTGAAGAAGCCACAATTAAAATTTTAAAATGCCTGCCACCTTAACATTATGGATGATAACTCTAAATAAATCACATAAAATAAACAGAAAAAATATTTCTTAGAATCACCAGGATGCCACCTGATTATGCTTTACTGAGAATCCTTATAGTCTGATTTTAAATACAAAGTCTGCACACACGAAAAGAGAGAGAGAGAGACACTGGCTGAGCATGGTGGCTCACACCTGTATTCCCACTACTTTGGGAGGCCGAAGTGGAAGGATCACTTGAGCCCAGGAATTCAAGACCAGCCTGGGCACCAAAGTGAGACCCCTGTCTCTACAAAAAATAAAAAAGTATTAGCTGGTTGTGGTGGTGCCCACCTGTGGTCCCAACTACTGAGAAGGCTAAGGCAGGAGGATTGCTTGAGCCCAGGAGGTCAAGGCTGCATTGAGCCATTTTTGCACCACTGCACTCCAGCCTGGGTGACAGAGTAAGGTCTTGTCTCAAACAAAAAGAGACACTGAAAAATTCATTATGAATATCATGAAAAAGTTTATAAGATCTTAAATGAGAAAATCTTATTAAAAATTTTTAACCAGAAGAGGAAATACTTCCTACCTCATGAGGCCAGTGTTACCTGGACACCAAAGCTAGACAAAGACACAATCGAGGAAGAAAACTGCAGACCAATATCCCTTAGGAATACAGATGCAAAATCCTTAACAAAATACTAAAAAACCACATCCAGAAGCAGACTGAACTTCTCCCCTAAGATTAGGAAAAAGACAAGGATGCTTACTTTCACCACTTCTATTCAACAGTGTACTGGAGATCTAGCTAGGGCAATTAAGCACGAATTAAAAGGTATCCATATTTAAAAAAAAGAGGGCAAAGTATCTCTATTCACAGATGACATGATTGTATAGAAAATGATAAATAATCCACACAGAGGAAAATTTTTTAACAAATGATTTCAGCAAAGTTGGCAGGATATAAAATCAATATGCAAACACAATTGTATTTCTATATACACACTAGCAATTAAGAATCTGAAAATAAAATTAAGAAAACAATACCAGCCAGGCACGGTGGCTCACGTCTGTAATACCAGAACTTTGGGAGGCCGAGGCAGGCAGATCACCTGAGGTCTGGAGTTCGAGACCAACCTGGTCAACATGGCGAAACCCTGTCTATACTAAAAATACAAAAATTAGCCATGCATGGTGGCACATGCTTGTAATCTCAGCTACTAGGGAGTGCTGAGGCAGGAGGACTGCTTGAACCTGTTAGGCAAAAGTTGCAGTGGGCCGAGATTGTGCCACTGCACTCCTGCCTCAGCAACAGAGTAAGACTCCATCTCAAAAAAACAAAAAAACAAAAAAACAAAAAAAACGAAACAACCAAAAAAACCACTTACAACAGCATCAAAAAGAATACAATATTTAGGAATAAATTTAACCAAGAGAATGGAAGACTTGAAGACTGAAAACTACAAAACATCTTTGAAATAAAGAAGCCCTAAATAAATAAGATATTCTGTCCCATATTAATGAATTGGAATATTTAATATTATTAACATGGCAATACTCCCCAACGCAATCTACAGATTCAATGTGATCTCCATCAAAATTCCAACTATCCTTTTTGCAAAATGGGCAACCTGATCCTAAAACTCATATGGAACTGCAAGGACTCCAAATAGCTCTGTTGCCCAGGCTAGAGTGCAATGGTGTGATCTTGGCTCACTGTAACCTCCACCTTCAGGGCTCAAGCAATCCTCCAACCTCAGTCTCGTGAGTAACTGAGACCACAGGTGCATGCCACCAGGCCTGGCAAATTTTTGCATTTTTTATAGACATGGGGTGTTGCCATGTTGCCCAGGCTCATTTCGAACTCCTGGGCTCAAGCTATCCATCCACCTCAGCTTATCAAAGTGCTGGAGTTACAGATGTGAGCCTAAACAATCTTTATAAGGAACAACAAAGTGGGAGAACTAACACATCTTGATTTCAAAACTTACTGAAAAGCTATGGAGTAGAGCTGAGTGTCCAAAAATAAACCCACACATCTATGATTAATTCATTTTTGAAAGGGTGTCAAGATGATTCAATGAAGAAAGAATAATCTTTTCAACAAATAGTGCTGGGACAACTGGATACCCACATGCAAAAGAATAAATTTGGGAGCCAGATGCAGTGGTACATGCCCGCAGTCGCAGATACTCAGGAGGCTGAGGTGGGAGAATTGCTTGAAAACAGGAAATTCGAGACCAGCATGGACAACACAGTGAGACTCTGTTCTTAAAAAAAGAAAGATTGAATCTGGACTCCTATCTTACACAATATACAAAAAGTAACTCAAAATGGATCAAAGACCTACATGTAAGAACTAAAACTCTAAAAGTTTGGGAAGGAAACAGGTGAAAATCTTCCTCATCTTGGATTAGGTAATGGTTTTTAAAATATGACATCATAGGTACAGCCAAAAAAAAAAAAAAAAACGATAAATTAGACTTCATCAAAATTAAAAACTTTGGTGTCAAAGGACGCTATCAAGTGAACAAATGCTATCAAGCAAAAAGACAACTCACGGAATGGAAAAACATTTTTTCAAGTCATATATCTGATAAGGGTCTAGTAGCCAGAATATAGAAATAACACAACGCAACCATAAAAAATAAAATAACCCAATTTTAAAAGGGCAAAGTATTTGAATAGATATTTCTCCAAAGAGGACATACAAATGGCCAGTAAACACATGAAAAGGTGCTCAAAACCATAATGAAATACCAATTTATAACCCAGTAGGATGGCTATAAACAAAAAGACAATGCCAACTGTGGACAAGAATGTGGTGAAATGGGAAAATTCATAAATTGCTGGTGGAAAAGTAAAATGGTATAATCACTCTGGAAAACATGTTGGCAGTTCCTCAAAAAGTTAAATATCAACTTATCATATAATCCAGCAATTCCACTCCTAGGGGTATATATATCCAAGAGAATTAAAAATACAAATCCACATAGAAACTTGTATCTGAATGTTCACAGCAGTATTATTTATAACAGCCAAAAAGCAGAAACAACCCAAAAGTTCATCAGCTAATGAACAGATGAATAAAATGTGGTACTGTACATCCACACAGTGGAATATTAGCCATAGAAAAGAATGAAGTACTGTTATATGGTACAACATGGAAGAATCTTGAAAACATTATGCCAAGTGAAAGAAGCCAGATACAAAAGGCCATGTGTTAGTCCATTTATAAGAAATATCCACAGAAGTAAATCTACAGAGAAATTAGATTAGTAGCTGCCAGGTGATAAGGGGGAGGGGAGAATTGGGACTATGTGCTAATGGGTATAGGATTTCTTTTGGAGGTGACAGAAATGTCCTGGAATTAGATAGTGGTGATGGCTGCACAATACTGTGAGCATATTTATAACTACTGAATTATACATTTCAAAATGATGAAAATGGTGAATTTCATCTCAAATTTTTAAAAAGTTTTAAGAATTTTATAAATTTTTAATCCAAATATGAAAGACAAACATGGAAGGGTTGTGAATTACTTTTTTTCTTAAAAACAATCTCATATTTTCAGTGTAGCATCGTTTATAACAACAACAAACTGAAAAGAACCTAAATAGCCATTATTAGGAAATGGATTAAGTACATTATGATCTGGTTATGGAAAAGAATGAGATGTGTTAGTTGAAAAAAGTATAGGGCTAAACAGTGGATGAAGTATGATCCCATGTGTGTTTTTAACAGTGTACAAACACACTTGTATCTGCATAAGCTCCTAACAGTTGTAAACATAATAGAGTGGGACTTGGAGACTTTTTTAAATTTGATGCCATTCTGTATTATTTGAAAGTTGTTTGAAATTATAATATTCAATTCCTCTTTTGGAATAAAACTTCAAGTATTCAGATGGCTTTCAAACACAGTAGGCATTCGAATTTATCTAGTGAATAAAATCTTTGCTGTATGCAGGGGAAACGTCTCTAAATGTTTTATTGTTTTTACAATCAGAACATGGATATTGTATTAACACAATCTAAATTTTCTGACAAACTGCACTCATTATAAGGCAGCATTTTCAAATAAATTTACCAAAAAGCTATTTTATATGGTATATATGCCACAAGAAAAGTATCAGGTGACAAGTATATTTGGTATATTTCCAAAAATATACCAAAAAGTAAAGAACATCAACATAATGAAGAATTTACATCAACTAATGGGAAAAACAGCCAGCTAATATCAAATGGCAGTATTAAACTCACATATATTATTATTAATCCTAAATCTAAATCGACTAAATCCCCCAATCAAACGACACAGCCAAAACCTATCGGTATGCTGCATCCAGACCCATCTCACATGCAAGGATACACAAAGACTCAAAACAAAGGGATGGAGAAAGATTTACCAACCAAATGGAGAGCAAAAATCAATCAATAAATAAAAAGCAGGAGTTGCAATTCTCGCCTCTGATAAAATAGATTTTAAAGCAACAAAGATCAAAAGAGGCAAAGGACATTATATTGGTAAAAGGATCAATGCAACAAGAAGAGCTAACGATCCTAAATATATACGCACCCAATACAGGAGCACCCAGATACATAAGACTTATAAAGAGATTTAGACTCCCACACAATAACAGTGGGAGACTTTAACATCAATATTAGACAGGACAACGAGACGGAAAATTAACAAGCATATCCAGGATTTAAACTCAGATCCGGAACAAGTAAACTTAATAAACATTTATAGAACTCTCCATTTCAAATACACAAAATATACACTCTTATCAGTACCACATCACACCTACTCTAAAAGGGACTGCATAACTAGAAGTAAATCACTCCTCAGTAATTGCATAGCATTTCACAGGTTTAAATGAAATATTGGTTGGCTGCTTGTTTGTTATTTTTTTCCCTCATTTCTTCCTGTCTCCATTATTAAGCACAATTATTGGTATAAAAGAGGTTTTCAATACCCATTTTTGGACTGCATTCTAGCCTGGGCAATAAAGCAACACTTCCGTTCTCTCTCCCTCTTCCTTTTCCTCTTTCTTCCTCCTTCATTCTTTTTTTTTTTTTAATTCTTTTTTTTTCTTTCTCTCCTTTTTTTCTTTTTAAAAAAATATAAATTAAAAAAAAAGTGTCAGGTGAAAAATATCTCTACATGCAAACAGAATACAAAATGGGAAATTATATATTTCTGATGACAGAACCAAAAATTATGTATTTATGGTTATAATGGTTTATGATATTAGATACATAATGTGACTGATACGTGTCCTATAAAAACACAAAAGCTATTTATTATAAGGTAGGAAGAGTAATTTTGTTTGGATTCATGCATAGAAAAGTACTGATGATATATAATAATGGTAATATTACACAAGTATTAAATTACATAAAAATCTACAAAAGGATATCTATAGCATCAGAGGCCTAAAAGGTACATTAGCAAAAATAAAGATATCTCATTCAATTCTTAACCTTAAAACATGTTGTCAGAGAATCTCCAGGACTGTATAAACATTAGAGAAATTTACTTTGAAGTAGAGATGAAAATATCAAAAGAGAAGTTTATACTTCTACTTCTGTAGTAATAATGCCAATAAAAGGGGAAAAAAAAACTTACCTGCCATTCAAACTCGCTATCTGACCAATCCCAGTAAGTGCTAATAGAAGAAGAGACATCACTGCAGACACTCCCCTCAGGAAATAAATCAAAAGAAGTGAAGTCCTGATCATCTAACAGGGAATAACAATCATCTTGATCTCCAACAGACACAGATGAAAATAGCTCCTCACTGCCTTCTGAGCTGGCAACACTTGTTCCACAAGAAGTTAGGTTCCACCTTCAAAAACACAACACAAAAGAAATCACAAGAACGACAAAATATACACAATTTTAAGGCTTACTTAACAGGACATATTTATAACATTTATAAGGAATGTGAGGGTTTTTTTGATATTTTTAAAAGAGCCCTTACCCTTTAAGGAAACATACTAAAATACTTATGAATGAAATATGTCTAGGATTTGCCTCAAAATAAGGAAGGGGCTGGGGAGTGGATGGGGTACAGATGAAGCATGATGCCATAGGTGAATAAATATTGAAGCTGGGTGACAGGAATGTGGGGTCCATTACACTTTTCTCTCTACTTTTGCAGCTGTCTGAAAATTTTTGTAGTACACTATTTTAAAAGAAAGAAGTATTTAAATTAGGAGTAAAGTAAAATCTTCATCCATAAACAAAAACATATAGCATAGTGGCTATGAGTAAGCTCTGGAATCAGACAGTTCAAATTCCTGCTCTGTCACTTCCCAGCGAATTGATTTTAAGCAATAACAGCTTCTCCAAGTCTGTGTCCCAATGGAGCTATTGTGATGATCACATAAGAATGCATACAGAGCACTTGGAGCACACATAAAAAGTGCCCAATAAATGACAGCTATTATTATTGTTAAAGGAAGAGGGGCGCCATTGCAGGGCAGAAGCAGCACCAACAAGCATCTACACAGGTAGAGGTTCATGAAGTGTTTGTTACATTTAAGTAACTTTTCCATTTTAATGTTGTACAGGCTCATTGCAAAGATGTTGTAAAGAAACGAATGAAGAATAAAAATGATCAATAATTCCATTATCCAGCAATAACTAATCTATAGTATTTTAGTATTTTTACATGCATACATATTTTTTACAGAATCAGCAACCATTCTGTGTATATATATTTTAGTATACTGTTTTTTTCACTTAACATTAATATGCTAAACATTTTCCTAAGTTTATTACTTGAAAACATTTTAATGCCTATATAATATTCCATTGACTGAATGCATAATTTAACATTATTCCTCCAATAATATAGTCTGTTTCTAATTTTTTTAATATTAGAAATAATGAGATGACCCTTGTTAATAATTATTTATCAAATGTATTTTCTCTGGATACAGTTGCTTGAAAGATAGGTACTGAGTCAAAGAATATGAACATTTCTTTTTTTTTTTTTTTTTTTTTTTTTTAGAGACGGAGTTTCACTCTTGTTACCCAGGCTGGAGTGCAATGGCGCGATCTCGGCTCACCGCAACCTCTGCCTCCTGGGTTCGGGCAATTCTCCTGCCTCAACCTCCTGAGTAGCTGGGATTACGGGCACACGCCACCATGCCCAGCTAATGTTTTGTATTTTTAGTAGAGATGGGGTTTCACCATGTTGACCAGGATGGTCTCGATCTCTTGACCTCGTGATCTACCTGCCTCGGCCTCCCAAAGTGCTGGGATTACAGGCTTGAGCCACTGCACAGAAACATTTTTATATCAAGTTTTATTTATTTAATTACTAACAAGATCAAATTTTAAAATATTTATTAGCTATTTTGCTATGGTATTTTTCTATGTGTTAATGTTTTCATTATTGATTTTGTAAGAGCTCTTTATGCATTAAGGATATTATCATGTTGTCTGCAGTATTTGTTGCAGGTTTTTTTTTTTTTTTTTTTTTTGCTCTTGAAGTCTATCAATCTGTTTTCTCTTGTAAATTTCCACTAGTTTTATACTATTAATAAGATAACCTTCACTGGTTTGCCAGTAGCATAGGGAATTAATCCTTAAGATAATGATTTAGTATTTCCAGTACTAACAAGCTCCTGAAATAATGACTTCCTGATGCAAAGTCTGTTATTTATCCATTATTAGGTTTTGTCTCATCCTTCATTAAATTTACTTTTTCTTAAATTATGTACTTCATTTTTTTAACTTCCTCCATTTTGTATGGTTAATCTTTAATTTAGAAGTTCTTGATTTACATACAAAATTTGGACAACCTGAAAAACTTTACGGTACCTTTTGCTTTTTAATTGAAAGTAGAGCATTTTAAAACACTGAAACACACACAAACTATTATAGTGCAGTAAATAAAAAGATGTCAATAAATTTTTATCAATAGGCAAAAAAACTTAAATTCATCTAAGAATCCTAGAATACCTTGTAATATTACTTAGTTCCATCACATGCTTGCTAGATGGACAGTATTCTCATTTTAGAAAAATTTTTAATTAACCAAATTATCCCAGATCTTGCAGTAAAAGTCATGAACAGGAATCATGTCCTGGTTTGAGACCAGTCTGGGAAACAAAGGAAGACAATGTCTCTACAAAAAATTATAAAATGAGCTGAGCATGGTGTTACGTTTCTGTATTCCCAGCTACTCTCAGGACACTAAGGCAGGAGGGTCCCTGGAGTCTAGGAGTCAGTGGTTACAGCAAGCTGATTCTGCCGCTGTATTCCAACCTGAGTGACAGAGAGAGACCCTGTCGCAAAACAAAACAAAAATACATTCTGGACACAGTAAAACCTATCCACACTGTGTTCTGAGCAAACTATTTTTCTTTTGTGTCTTCAAATTACATGTGACTTGTTTTCCCTTTATTCACTCACTCATTCAACAAACATTTAATCAGTATGTTCTATGTAGCAAATACTAGGTTCAGTGCTAGGAAAAACTGTGAGATACTTGTTTTAAATTAAAATTTTTCAGCTTATAAAAATTCTGTAAAAATGTGTTTCTCTCCATGAGTGATAATGGCATTCCTTAAAAAAAAAAAAAAAAAAAAAGAGATGCCATTTTTAGTAATCTAACCAATAGATCACTGCCCAAGGAGTCAGGAATTTGCTTCATTTTGTGCTCTTAGCATGGGGTACAGTCACTGTGTTCTTCAGTTTTCCAGATTTGTAATCACAACAAGGTTCTGAATGTTCTTAGAAGTCTTTGTCTTTTGTTTTTAATTATCAGTGGCAAGTAAACTGGGCTCATAGTTGAAACAAATCATGTATAAAATAGAGTAATAGTATTTTTTAGTAGCAAAGATGGTAACTTCTTTATAGCTTCATTTCCTTTTACTTTTTTTGAGATGGAGTCTTGCTCTGTTTCCCAGGCTGGAATAAAGTGGGATCTCGGCTCACTGCAACCTTCGCTTCCTGGGTTCAGGCAATTCTCTGACTCGGCCTCTCAAGTATCTGGGAATACAAGTATGCACAACTACAGCTGGCTTTTTTTTTTTTTTTTTTTTTTTGTATTTTTAGTAGTAGAGATGGGGTTTCACCATCTTGGCCAGGTTGGTCTTCAACTCCTGACCTCATGATCCACCTACCTTGGCCTCCCTAAGTGCTGGGATTACAGGTTTGAGCCATGGCACCTGGCCTTTTTCTTTTTTTGAGTCAGGGTCTCGTTCTGTTAACAAAGCTGGAGTTCAATGTCATGATCATGGCTCACTGCAGCCTTGACCTCCTGGGTTTGGCTCATCTTCTCACCTTGGCCTCCCAGCAGCTGGGACTACAGGCACATACCACCAGCCTGGCTAATTTTTGCAATTTTTTTGTAGAGAAAGGATTTCATCATGTTGTCTGGGCTGGTTTCAAATGCCTGGGCTCAAGCAATCCTTCTACCTTGGCCTCCCAAAGCGCTGGGATTACAAGCGTGAACCACTGTGCCTGGGAAAATTTTTGTATCTTCTAAGTTGCAAATTTTTTAAATTATAATTTTAAGGCAATATAGATTTTAAAAAGTAGGAAGTACTTTCATCCATTGCTAGTGACACTGTAAGTTGACATAATCTTTCTTAAAAGCGCTATGGCAATATTACGTACATCTAGAGTTTTAAAAGGTTCATTCCTTTGGAATCAGTAATTTCCCTTCTAGGATTGTGTTCCCTTCCCCAAACAGAAATTTGGAAAAAAGATGTGTGTACAAATATGTCCAAACAATATTTGTAACACCCCAAAAGGGAAAACAAATGCCCCTAAAATATGGGGAATAATTGATATATCCGAACGGTATTTTTATAATCACTAATAATCATATTTTCAGACTATTCTAAAGGAAAACACCCAATAAGTGCAAATATGCAGATCACAAATTGTATATACAGACTGATCTTGATTTTTAAAAATTATGTATGTACATAGAAATATTAAAAGAAACATCATTAAAATGTTGACAGTTGTTACCTTTGGGGAAAAGGATCATGAGTGGTCTTTATAGTTTTTTAGATGCCCTCAGTTTTCTACAATAAGTTTTTAAATAAAAATTTAAGTGGGATTCTTTTAGACTGTTTTGTCAGTTTCAAGCTTGTAATGAATGTCTATTGTGTGCTCACCACCAAAGTACTCAAAATTACAAGCTCTTACATTTTATTCCACTAAGAGAAAGCTACCTAACACTTA